CGAGAAACCACTGAAAGCTACGAATCGGAGAAGCCGGGCGTTAGAATTCTCCTCCAGGCAGCGACTGATTTCGACCAAGTTTTGTATGTAGTCTATTTTCTGTAGAAAATACTATCACCGCTTCTTCTGGACGCGAACGTAGGACCTCTCGGTCAAAGGCACTGCAGAAACCTCAGTTGATGCCCCGATACACATCTGCCGGTGTTGAAAGTTAATGCGGCCGCCCAACTCGATGTAGAAAATTTAATTTTCGGAAAGAAAAACTGAAGGGAGGAATGGGAAGCTTAGCCTGTTTCCTCCAGTTCGCTGGCCACGTCAAGTTGTTGTCAAATTGTTTTAAAGGTACTCCGAAGATAAGGTTTTGTCATTGTAATTGTAAAACAAGACAAATGCATTTTCGAGATTTTCGTAGGTTTCAACTGCTAGAACTACTTGTTCAACAATTTTTCAAAGCAAAATCACTAGTTTTTATTTATTCTATATTTTAAAAAATAAGCATACAATATGAAAATTACGTAAATAATTTTAAATCATAAAAGTTGGCTCTTAAAACATAGTCCCCAACGCTTCGTACCAGGTAATAAGTGGAAGAAAAAGGGTTGCGCACGAGCGCGCGTCAGCTGCGGAGCGGCGCGCGGCGGGGGTGCGTGGCGAGGTAGAGCAGCCCCAGGCCGACGGCGCCCAGCGATGCCAGCAGCACCGCGAGGACGGCGCGCCGCCCGCGCCGCGGCATCAGCCCCGCTGCCAGCCCCTGCGCCTGCTGCCCGGGCGCCTGCGCCTGCGCCCTCGCGGCCTCCTCGCCCATGGCCTCGGCCTGCCTGCGAAGCAAACAGCGCCTTTCAATAAAAACACTATTACCAGCTGAACGCGCTTTTCCTATCAAGAGCTTTCTTACGACTTTCACTTTTGGTGTAGAAGCTCCCGATTCGACAACCGCGACACAGCTAATGATATGTAACAAGTCACTATATTTAATTCGGACAATAATACATGTCTTCGTTGCTACAACAGACAGAACACTTCCTTGGGCCTTAGAAATAAAGCAGAAACTGCCTGTATGCTGCAAACAAGAAGCTTTAGGCGTCCAACAAAATGTTTCCTTAAAGTTTGTTTGGAATGTCGTGGTATATAGACCAACTCCATTGGTATTGATATTACTGGGAATTTTGTAGCTGGGAAGAGACTCCTAGCATTGCCGATAAATTTTGGCTCCCCTTCGTACCATATTAAATTACCATTTTTATTTTATGATTTTCATAAAAATGTCTATATCAGTACATCTTAATTTGGAGTAGTTCAAATTCTTTCATCTCAAAATTCGGTCCACAGTTCTTCAAAATTTGCTGTAAAGCAATGCGCTCTGTGTTTACACATAAACGGCAAAAATAAGTCAAATTGGGCGTCTAATCTTGAATAGAAACAATTATAACCTGTCCTTAGTACGAACTGAGAGCAAAGAATGTAAATTTAAACGTGCATCCTGAAAGATAATTAATTTCTACAAAAAACACCACTTCATTTCAGTCTAATACTCAATTATTGACCATAATAGTCTTTCCAGAGAATTGAAACTAAACTCAACAGACAAGCAGAACAAATAAGACAAGATGAAGTTATGTGTTTTTTCAGTTAACAAATACGATTAATAAGTATATATTAATAAAAATAATAAAATTATGCTCATATCAGAAACTCATTTCACCAATATTTCAACCATTCTCGATAGAAGCATACAACATATATCACACTAATCATCCGGATGGTACAGCACATGGAGGAACAGTCACACTCGTCCGCGAGAAAATTAAACATCATTTAAATTCTCAGTATAGCACAACGTACTTCAAGGCAGCATTCATTCAAGTAAGCGATGCATTCGGAATATTCCAGCTATACGAAGGGCAATCAAAAAGTTCCCGGAATTGCCTTGCCGCCGCCAGACTAGCGATAAGACAGCACTCATATTCTTCTGGTAGGTGGCTAGGAAGGTTCGCGAGCGCGAAAAATTGGTCTGGTCACGTTTCAGTGCGCTGGGGTGTCACTGCTCCGTGTCGCGCGCAGATGAGTGATATTCCTCCGACGACACGCAGTCCGAACGGCGCGCGAACATCGAGTTCCTTTGCAAAAAAGGGAAAATCGCCTTCAGGGAAGCTATCGGCCGTACCGTGGCCTGGACAATCTGTTACTGACAATTTCTATGGGCAAGTTTTTAAAGGTCTGCGTGATGCGGTTCGAAGGTCGTGACGGGTCGAGTGGCAAGGAAAAGTGGTGTCTGCATCACGCTAACGCGCCCAGCCACACATCGCTTGTTGTCCAGATATTCCTCGCCGAGAACATTCCTGTCTTCTCTCGACCACTCCACTCTTTAGATCTCGCTCCCAGAGGCTATTTGCTGTTTCATCACCTGAAAAGGAGCCGCAAAGTGAAAAATTTGCAACCGAGGAGGACATGAAATCGAGTGCGACAGCGCAGCTCCGACAAATGCTGAAAGAACCCTTGTTCCGCTCCTTGCAACAATGGCAGAAACGGTGGAGCAAGAGTATGGGTACGCAAGGATCCTACTTCGAAGGTGATTAAATTACTATTGACATAGGTTTTAACATTAACATGCTGAACCACCGTTCTGAGAACTTTTTGAACGCCCTACAGATACTGTCCCCCAAAAAATAAAATTCAGAATTCAAAATTCGCACGCTTCTTCAGAAGACTCGAACCAAGATTTATTTCTGGCGGTGGCTAGAATTCTAAACATCTTTTGTAGGATTCCAGAATAACCTCTCCGAAAGGTAATTCTCTATATGAAACTCAAATAAACGAAAGATTATCCATATACTCTGCTGACCAACCCACTTATTGACCGACCCACACTAACAAAATTCGTAATGAATTAGATTTCTTTATTGCTAAGGGAGTAAACCAAAGTTATATTCGCACCTATTTCTCACAAGGTCTATCATCTGATCATTCATCAGTTCTACTCTTCACCAGCTCTTTCATTATTGAAGAAAACAAGCAGATCTGAAAGTAACAAGCTCAACCCACAAAAATAGAACAGATTGGAAACACTTCTCAGAATGGCTAATTAATAACAGCACTGCTAATTTATCATTGAAAACTGCTTTCGACATAAATTAAGCTACAAAGTACAAAACCAGTTCATCAAGCTGCAGGGCATTCCTCACGAGAAATAAAGCAAAACAAAAAATTAAGTATCCCACAAATAATAAAAAAAAAGGAGAGAGTAAAACGTACATTAAAGAAACAAGGGCAAGTCACTAAGGATCCAGAAGCTAAAACAAGACTTAATTCTGCTTCAAAAAACCTCAAAAGATTACTTTAAGAACATAACAACAACACTCTACAAGATAAGCTTATGAGATAGATTTCAAATTCAAACTCGGAGCATTCTCTTTGGAAAACCAACAAATACTTGAAGAGACCGCTTCAAGCTATTCCTCCCATCAGAAAAGCGGGCGGCGCACGGGCTCCAACCGGCGGAGAAAATACGCGATGCATCCCCTCCCATTGCTGTGCGACGTCGTTTAACCCTTTCCTCCACAAATGGCTGCAATAGAGGAGGACGAAATTTACAACTTGCTAAACACACCGTTGCAACTTGCGCCCCAAATCATCCCTTAGTGCTCGAGAAGTTGAAACAGTTATCAAGATTTTACCAACTAGAAAAGCTCCCGGATACGATATGATTTCGACAACAATTCTACGCCATCTACCAAGAAAATTCTTCGCCCCGAATTGATTCCCCGAAAAAAATGGAAAATAGCTCAAATAATGGTCATCTCTAAATCTCGAAAACTAATGCATGAAGTTGTATCATACTGACCTATTAGACTACTGCCAACATTATCAAAAGTTGTTGAAACATTGCTGTCACGTTTGAATCCACTTATACAAGAAAAGGCAATAATAGCTCATCATCAGTTTGGGTTCCGAGAACGGCATTCGCCTATAGAACAAATTCATCGAATAGTAGACGAATCGCTAGAAAATAAAGAAAATACTCTGCTGTATTTCTTAACGGAAGCCAGACTTCCGATAAGATCTTCACCCAGGTCTGTTACATAAAGTTAAGACAAATGTACCGTATCCATACTATGACTTTCATTTGTGACGTAATGAATACTCACAGCGGACACAGAGATTTCATAAACCAAATATTTATTTACAAAGAAAACACAACAAATATTTACAATGAATTTACACTTTCAACCTTACATCCGATAGACTTGCTATCCCCTGATCGCGGGAGCGATCCCAACCCGATTGATTATCAGTATCAATTGTGACACTCGCCGATCCTACTTCTGAAGCGCGCACAAAGCCAAGCTTCCGTGTCCGTATGTCACACTGGGACACAAACTCCGTACCGGCGTACCAACTGATGGTTTGCCTCGATCGCAGGAGCGATCTTGCCCGATTAAGAATCGGTCGAGAGTCGCGGCTCTCAACCCTTCCTCCCCTCGGAGCACGCACACAGCATCGCTCCCACGTGACCGCAGTCACCAAAGGACACAAAGTCCTCCACAGGCTCGTCAACACGTGACTTGCCTCGCGAGCCCTGCTCACCGCTGCACCGACGTAGCGCCAAATTTGTGCATTCGCACGAGGTTCTCCCACTGTCTCCAGAACCCACCCCTGGCTCTGTGTACTCCCTTATATACTTGAGGCTCACGTGACCTACTACGTCACGCCGCCCCCGCAACGCCCTTCTCCTCGCCATGAGGTTTCTTGAGACCGGAGGACCCCAAAGCCTCGCGTCTCCCTTTGCCCCGTGTTGCTTTTGGGAAAAATCCTTCTCTCTCTCCTGTGGCGAGGCGGTTTCCTGTTGCTAATCCCTTACTACGCATCCCCAAATAGCTGCCACGAGGTTCGCTTGCTAGTACGTTACACCGTTACACGTCGTACTGCACAGAGCCACATTTTCAAGTAAAATTTAATGGTTTAAAATTCAGAACTTAGCCCCAGTACTTCAGGAGTGCCTCAAGGAAGTGTACTTGCACCTTTCCTCTACTCTCTCTATACTGCCGACATCCCAACGCATTGACAGCCCCCTACTATGACACAGCCATCTTAGCTCGAAGCGAAGACCCAGCAGGAGCACCACGTCGCATAAAGCGGAAGAGCATTTGCTCTCCGTCCACGAGGGGCAAACACGCTGACGACGCAAGATCAGTGACAAGAAACCTGTCCATGTACCCTTCTGCAAAATATCTTGGACTTACTCAGGACAGAAGTCTTACATAGAAAACACATATTAAGAATAAGAAAAAGAATTAGACCTAAAACGTACAAGTTTAAACTGGCTTCTGAGAAGAAAATCATTGTTAATTATTGCAAACAAAGTAATTGTGTACGTAGCAATATTGAAACCAGTGTGGTCATGGGGTGGCACGGCGCGGCGGGCCAGACCGGGACGGACGGGCAAAGATGGGGAGGCGGCACAAGACGGGACAAGAAGGAGCGCGGCCGGGGATAACGATGGGCGCAAACGGGTGGAACCCACGTTCAAATAACAATTCGGCAGTAATATTTAGGAATTCCGATTGACCAAAACTAATTGGAGGCCCTTTCGCTGTAAAAACGCATGGTAAAGTGCATCAACTACCTTCATTTATCAATATTAAGTTCTCCCTCATAATTGAATTTGGATAACTCGTATATAAATCCATAATAAGACTATGAGCGACATAGGCCTGCTCAGTTTAGAGACACTCTGAAAATTTTCAATCAATTTGTGAACATTACAAACTGATGCTTTGAGACACAAAGCAAGAGCATTTGGAAGCAAATACCTTCAATAGCAGCACATTTAAACTGAAGTGTTCCAAAAGGTAGGCTCGTGGTCAGCGTGCTCGCTTTCTACTACGCAGGTTCGATTCCCGGTCGAGCCAAGACCATACTGTGCGTTTTCCTTGCAATATCCCAGTATGTGTTGCTGTAGAACGATGAGAAAATTCACTTCTCAGTGTGAGAAAACCGGAATACGGCGTGGGGATGTTTACGTGCTAACCACACGTACCCCCTTAACCCATGGCCGCGAGGCAGCGACGTCGCCAGCAGGCCTGAGCCCATTCACAGGCTTTCGCGCTAAGTACATACATACAGTCATGGACAAAAGTATTCG